CCCTGACAGGTGCGTTCGTCCGTCTAGGGCAGCGAAGTGTAGCAGCGTTCATAAGGAATGCGCGATAGTTAACCGTTCCCGCCCATACGATCAGTGCGGAGTGTTCCAAGACCTACTATCAGTGCAGTACTGATGTTCATGGCGACGATGGTCTTTCTGCAGCCGAGTTCGGGAGCTGGAGCTTCAGCGGTGTATCTTCTAGCACGCTTTCCTTTCTTTAAAGGACATGAATTGAACCACTCGATAGGTTCAAATTCATTAATCCCCCTCCAACGAGCAGCTTCCCTTCGCAATATCTGGAGAGAATACCTTTCAGACACCTAGCTATGCTCCCAGCTCTCCCGAACGGGACTTCCAGCCCCATTCCACGACCATAATTTAGGTCAATAGCCTTGTGATCGTGTACTGTAGTGAAACATTGACTTTTCAGATTATCCGACACGGGCCCATTGACAAGGAGATCACTCTGAACTATTGCACCCAAAGCGGAATGGCCAAGAAACATCTGCACTTTCTGCCCAAGTCCGAAACGATCCGTATGGCAGCGAATGAGAAGACCCGAGAGGTGACGGTCGATCTTGTCGAGGGAGCTGACTGGCGACCAAATCACAACTTCTACGTCAACCTAAAGATACAGGTACGGTAATAGTTTAGTAAGTCTCTGGTGGATTCTGATGGTTCTTTATAGGATCAGCCCGAGGACGGCAAGACAAAGCTTGGCTCGTGTGATGTGGCACGAGTACGATATCCCGATGACACGGCGTCTTTGATGGGAGGCGCTGCAATGGAGTTTGTTAAGGCGAACTATGTCAGTTATTGTGCCTCGCTGGTTACAAATACTTGAGAGGGACGGGTGTCGGACGCGAGCGGTCGCAACGCGTTCCACCTCGTGTGGTGGTGACGCGATCTCATACTTTCCGTTGTTCTCCAGAATGGGTGTCATAGGAAAAAGTTTAGGTGGCTAAGGAGAATTGTGGCTGGATACGGCTGTTTGTTACAAGGCGAGGCAAGAAGCACAGTGGTGACAACGTCGTCATTTACGAGACAGCGGACGTGACTGGCAACAAGCCAACCCGACTATACCCTGTGAAGCATGAAGATGGTATTCCAAGGACAGGTTGAGTCGCTGAGATATGCAAGTTTTAAAAGTTTTGAAGCCCAAAATTGTTTTTCGAATCATTAAGCGTGAGTGGTAATGTGTGCTAGAAGCCCGTCATCAGTTCGCGACCAGCCCCAACAACCGGTCGGCGAAGTATGAAACGCGCTTCAAAGTGTAATTGGATTGGAGATCCAGTTCGTCAACGATAAAGGCCGCCACCCATTTTCTACATGCGCGCGCTGCTCGACAATGGGTCTGGTTGCCATTGGTAATGGATTAAGGCCGACATTAGAGCGAAGTAGATGTATTGTAGTTTGACCTCCTGCCTCGCCTAACCGTGCCCTATCACATGGGCTAAAACTATACCTGAATGTTTCCCGTCGATTCCTCGAGTAGGGTTGCACTTTGTGTGGAGAGGGGGCCTCATAATTGGTTTGGGAAACACATACGCTCAACTACTGTCGTATCTGGTTGGATTAGTAGATAGCTAGTTCAGTGACCGTTTCCACACCCCCCCCCCCTCCCCCCCTGCCTCCTTCTCAGCTCTGGCCAGATCGACCGGCCTATATTTCAGCAAATATTGGCTGGAGATATGTGCTTCGTATTGCTGAGATAGTTGCTTCGTTGTGAAAACCGGTCAAGCGAAGAAAAGTTTTGGCGCAGGGGGGCATTACAGCGAAAATTCCGGCGCAGCAGTCACGTAATTCCCTATAGGTTAGCTGAATGTACATGTAATCATGTAGAAGTTGATAGAGATAGTCGCGCTTGCTGATACTTAATACTGTATATGTGTGATCATTGGTCTAGGCGAAACCTGGCAGCCGGCCCCCTGTTGTACACCAGTCGTGGAGAACAGGTTAGCAGCGCGCGAAATCCAGCCCCATCCTAAAACGTCCTAGCCTTTGTAGCGAAAAAGACTAGTTAATTGTACAAATTTGGTTTTGAATTCGAGCCTTAAAATCTGACCGATGAGTTTCTTAGGTATAAGTGGAAGTTTAGGAATATGAGAAGTATATCGACATAGAGATAATCGACGACAAGCACGACGAAAAGGATGAAACCTTCACCGTCGAGATTGTTTTGGTTGAAGGGGAAGGCGGTAAGGTTTTCCTCAATTTTTTCTGAAGCATTGATTCTGTAAAAAACACATCGCCTACGGTGATCGCATGGGCGGAGTCAGGCCCATCATTGCTCATCCCTCATTGGTTCGACTTTCATTTCTGAGGTTGTGAAGGACAACGGCACGTCAATTGGGGAAGCACAACGATTGGCCTGATTTCGCCCACACGATCACTGGGGACTGAGGCTTTCAGGGATCAGGGAAAGCTGATTTTTCCGTCAAACACTGAGCACGTTTTTACAGAGGTGGCTATCGGACGAAATCGCCGTACTGTGGTGACAATCATTTCTGATGACAATGTCTTGATGAACCTGGTCAACGTACATAAGCTTACAAGTCATTACATTCAAAAACTCTCCAATTACAAATCGTCATGGATGGATCAGGTGTGTGTTCAGGGTTGATTTCCAGTTGTTCTACAGATCTGTGTAGGTTCCTTTCTGATTAGTAGAAAAAAAAATCAAAATTGGGCGCTATTTGGACTGGGACGGGTATTCTCCACTTTCGCGACCTCCCTTTACGTGATCATGTTGGATAATAAGAGCGCATTTTGGTAAAACCTACAAACTCTTGTGAAGGTGTGAAATTTACGAAGAGGATATAAGAACTCACAAGTCTTCAAAAGGTGTCCTGTAAAAGCTTACCTGCCTATTTGGTGCCCCCACAAAGCCGAGATGCGCTCTACATTTCTCAAACAGTTCACTTTCGAACGCTTCTGTGTAGAATGAGGAATTATAAATCGCTTCTACAATCTTTTCGATTCAAAGCTTCTGAGAGCGCACTCCACGCCAGGCATATGGACGGAGCCGGATCTGCCTTCACGCCTTGCACAACCGTTTTGCAAGGAGAAACTCAGAGATGAATAGCGCACAGGCCTTGCTCCGCCCATTTGGCTCGCGTAGACTATTTCTCCAATCACAGTAATGGCCAGTTGACAGCAGAGTTCACGTAACCAACACTTAGAAGTCGAATAGTCTCTTCAGTCCTTGTGATTTCTTTTTCCTCTCTCATCTAGGGGGATGTGCTTCCGTAGATGAAAGAGGGGTGAGTCTCAGTCATTGATAAACCTGATACGAGAATATTGCTTTCAGATACGTGAGGCGATGTCGGTGAACGCTGGTGATACGGCTCATGCAACTTTTATGGAGTGTATGCTGCATGGTCTTGCATTCCCATGGAAAGTAAGTAATAGTTTATGCTCGACTAATTTTGTACTGCCATTTGGCTGCAGTCTTCTTCGCTGCTGATAGTGGGGGATTGTCAGGAGGTTGGGCTTGGCGCACCGGAAATCCATTGTGCACCAATTCTCGAAGGAGGCGAGCGGGTAAAAATTGTCTTTTCATTTATTTGCAGCGTTGTCACTTGTCTGTGGAGCTCAGGTCATAGCATCGTCGTGAAATTGACAGCAGGGGTCGTATTTGAGTGGGATAGGGAGGGGAGGGGGAGGGTATGTGGCCAAGGAAAAGTTTCTGTTGCCAGCACTCTTATTATTCCTTTTTATAGTTTATTTTCTGCTTCGTCCCACCTCCAAAGATTTTCGGCGGTTGGCTGTGTTTCCTCGTTGGATTGGCACTTATTGGAGTTCTCACCGCCATAGTAGGTACGTACTTTACCTTTTGACCTCTTTTTCGCTTCTTTTCAGTACTCTAGTGGAGAGGTTTTCGCAAGACGAAACTGTACACTCACCTTAGAGAATCTCCTTGCCATATTGTCACCTGCATTAGCGTGCCACTTTCTCCGCTCAACAGATTACGGGAATGGGTTGGAGGGTAGTGACACTGGGGTGCCGTTCGGATCTCCGCCCATAGGGGTAAGCACGTAACACGTCCGCACGGCCAGTCACGCACCACACGCCTGACCATAACCAAACGCACTACCTGTGCACCCTCTCACGCGTGGTTGTTCTTACCTTAAACTGCGTGTTCGCTACAGAGTTTCAGTGTCGAAGAAAGTACTGCATCGGGAGGGTGCCCGAGCAACACCACACCTGTACCATTCAGCCTTACTTCAGCGCGCTTTTGAGTGAGGAAGGTTTAGACTTGTACAGTTCTGCTCCCACATGGCAAGAACCGTCCTCGGAGGTGAGTGAACAGCTTCCGTTCGACCTATAGCCCCAGTTGTAAAGGGTTTTCCCTGAAAAGCTTCGCTCACTTTGCCCGACATTCTTGGGCCCATTAGAATCCCGTTTAGGTTGAACAAGATTTGGAAACTTTCAGGTGACCTTGCGTCAATCTTTGGATGTATGGTCGGTATGAAAGACGCTATAACTGCCATTACCCTTGTCGCTCTGGGCACAAGCTTGCCCGATACCTTCGCCTCAAAGATCGCGGCTGAGAACGTAAGTGCCCTTCGTGAGAGCTCTCATAGCAACGACTTCTATAATCATTTCAGGATGATTCTGCCGATAATGCAATAGGAAACGTGACTGGGTCGAACTCTGTGAACGTGTTCCTTGGCCTCGGTCTTCCTTGGCTCATCGCATCTATTTATTGGGCTGCTAAGGGTGAAAGCTTTGCTGTTCCCGCTGCTGATCTTGGTTTTAGGTACGTTATACGGAAGTTCTTTTTGCTTATTTTTGGTTTGTGAGCAACATACAAGTAGGAGCACAGTCGTACGCTCGGGAATCTTCAAGCGAGAGGGGTTGTATGTATTCGGACATTGATAGTATTTGCCTTTGTGAGGAAATGTTTTCTGGTTATTGGCGTTCCTCAATTTTTCCCGCTTCGCGAACGCGTTTTACCACCATTCCACTAGGCACCAAGCTTTCCTAGAGAATTACTGGAGAATTTTTGGAAACAAAAACTCTGGAAAAATGGTACGATGTTGAAAAATATATAGGTGAGGGTGACTGCCATCG